GTTGTCATCCTCTGAACTTATACCATCCAGCATAATCTGTAATGTCAACACACGGCACATTCCTCAGCCAATTGCATGACATGCATTTTAAATGACAATGCCTAAAACTTAAACTAAAATTCCACAACTTATACAGACATTATACCTCATGCACAGCTAAACTCACAATAGCTTATTACCAACGCACAAAACCCCACTATGAATGAAAAACATTAACACACTGATATCCGATGACAAGAGACATAAATATAACGTAATGGCAAACCAGTTAAAGTTCATACAGAATCAGCAATGACGAAAGGAATATTTTCAGGTTTATTCATAAGCTATTCTATGATGACAATGACACAAAACTGCCACCCCAGCAGCCAACAAAGCTGGTCCTTTGTGCTGTGGTCGGCTGGCTACTTGACACAGACATTCCGGAGATGAAGCGATGTGTAAAATTGCCCCATGGTTTGAGTTGAGTTCACTCCTATTTCACTGTAGTGGGTCAATGGGAGTGTGTTGGTTTATTGAAGTCTTAAGACTCTATTGTGTTGAAGATTCAGCAGATAGATGGTAGTCCACTTTTGTGTTTCCGAGACAACTTTCTGACATACCCGGAGCCGAGATGACTTTTTGAGCATACCCTGTTGAATGGCTAGATGTGATAGTTTTGTGGAGTTGATGCTGGTGATCGCTACAAGTATAATTAAAGTATCATTGTACTGGGTGGTTCCTTTGTCTTGACAGAAAGCTAAATCCACCCCTGTATTAAAACCAGCTCAGAAGAAAATAGTAATAATTCAGAAATGAGATAATGATATAGTGAATCATGTTGCAAATACATCAGCCTTGTCTACACGCAGAGGAGTACCTCCCATAACATAAAGTACAAATAAACGAGCAGCCATCCAACACTTAATTTTCAAAATTAACGTTTGGGACCATAAAAAATTATTGATCATGATTATGAGGCGCCTAGATGAAAATCAAGTAATGATGAAGCTTAATTGTTCCAAATAAACTTGACATTTCATCCTTTGGTTCTCAAACAATGCAACAGCAATGTTCAAAACTAAGCATGAAGGTCTAAGTAGGTTTCCTTGACATAGTCCTGATGTGAAAACGTCAAGATGTAGAAACTGACCACATTAAATACTTAACGTTAAGGATCCCCCTATTCAAACACAACAATAGGGTAAAACAATGATAAAATACAACCAGACGATGGCTCATTTCAGACTTAGTGTTAACTCAGTCCATATGTGAAATGACCTGAACTTTTTCAGAAAAGCAGTTAGTCCTTTCAGAATTTGACTTGTTTCAGTATGAGTAGACACATGGCAGTGTTAATGAAACCTGTTATAAGACATTTCGTCACAAATGATATTGTAAAGAATCTTTGTCATGTAACCCATTATGATCAATACAAAAAGTATTTTTAGAAATACCGATTGACAAATTGACCTTCGAGACGTACCAGTGAAACCTTTAACTAGTTTATTTAGGAAATCACTGTCTAAAACAGCAAAGGTTCTCATCATTTAATTTATGGCAGACTAGTATATGTTCAAGAAACCCCAACTGACAAAGCATTAAGAACTACCACAATAGTGTGACAAAACTTATCCTATAAGGTTTTAGCAATCTGAACAAAAGAAAGCAATTGACAAAACACAAAGATCTACCAAACACTTTGATAAACTTTTCAATCAGTTATTATTCAAATGAAAGACATGTGTTTGTTCAAGGACTTGCAACTAAGAAGGCACCAAGAACTACAACACTTTTCACTTACACAGCGATAGAAACTAACAGTTTTAGTCCACTAGTCTGAATAATGATAACATATAGCAAAACCCTTAAATGTCAAATTTCCACTAGTCCTTATGATACATTACTATTGGGCAGTTTGGCAAGGACTACAGGACTAGTGCCAAGTTCAAACACTGATACATTGTTTGAAGCCCCACACCATTCATCAAGGTTTAATGTACCAAAGTCAAAGCGTCATTGAGTTCAAATTTATTCAGAATGTCCTATTTAAACTATTTTTGTGACATATATTTTTTAAGGCAATCTCTCAGGGTTCATAGCATTACCTATGCTTCCTTGTTCAAACATCTTGACGGTTGACATCTCCCAGTCAAACAGGGGGTATATACCGATAAGTACAAGCAATTCATTCTCTCTGTCAGTCTCCATCCTATAATCACATAGGGCCACCATTCATTCCCAGCCAACTGGAACACATGGCCCATTCAGTGGCATAATACACTGCAAGCAAACATGGAGCAATCTTTGTAAAACTGCCATCAAAGACGCACTCTATACATCTTAACTGCAGAACAGGTTTAAAAATTCGCCTGCAGGATAACTGCCATCAAATTCAAAACATTAAACCTCATGGTCAAATAGCTTTTACAATATCTTTTTCCAGTCTGCATTAAAAGTACCAAGTAACCATATTTTTTTTATTGTGTCTACATAATAAATTTATACCAGGACAGTAGGGCTGGGACGAGTCCAAATTTCCTACCCGGGTACCCAACCCCCTATTACCCAACCCTACCCGGGTACCCACTGTAGGTCTCAAGAGTTGGGAACACAATGTCTAACTGGGAATAGTTTAACTGTAGCCCTGGCAAAAACTGTTTAGATACATGTATGAAACAAGAGACCATATAATAGACACATGGTCTCTTATGAAACGATCGAATCATGCATACACTGAAGTTAACTGAAGCTTTATCTTTACTCAAACACATACAAGTCAAAAGGAATGTGTGCATCATCATAAAGAAATGGAAACATTAGCGACTTGTAGTGTAACCACTGAGCAATAGTGAGTTTTTGTCATTAAACAATATGTCACGTGACTAACCACGGGTCCGGGTAGTTCTGTGGGTGCCCGGGTCCTACTCAGGACCCACCCGACCCTAGATACCCCTCCCAGCCCTACAGGACAATGAGTTCACTGAACATACATTTGGTGCAGTTGAACTTATTCAGCATTATACAATGCACTTTATTAATAGTGACTATCATTTTAGGATATAGAAACAATTTGAAGCTTACAGATAAATCACTGTTCAGGTGATAACAAACTTTTTTGCATCATGTAAACTATGTCAATGTAATACTTTGAACACTAAACCATAAGGTGAGTCAAAATGGGGTTTAACATACTTCTTTCTTTCTTTACATACCAATGGGACATATAATTCATCATATCTCGTGAAGAAGTGAACAATGACTTTCCTAATTAATCTCCAATGTTATTGGGATAACATATATGTTCAGATATCAACTGTGAAGAGAGTCTTAGGATTGAGGCTGTAACTTGTTTGACGTCATTGTATCATGTTTATAACTTATGTACTAATTTCAAACCAACTGTTTTATTACTTAAAAGCCTTGATTACAGCTTTAGAGCCTAACACATGTCACTTAGTCCTAAAATTGAAGATGAAGTATCCAATACTTGATGTAAAGAAAGAAAGTCCTTATCATAATATTACAAATTTATGATTTAGGAGGGCCAAATAAGATAGCATCAGTTCTAAAGCACTCCAGGATTAACATGTTAACACTGATTATCGATAGATATTCATAGGCGTCTTTCCCATAAACAAGGCGTCTTTCCCATAAACACATCATGCGGACTGATGACTGCAATGATAGTTCCTACCTAGCAGGATTCAAAATTAACATAAGTCTGTTAGTCTGAGACATTCAGGAAGGAAGGACTAGCGACATGTTATTGTGGACTGCCACATTTTTCCCATTAAGTAGATTGCAACACTAGCATGTCATCTGTTGCAGACAAGTGAAAATATAAATTTCTATCCCTGAACGTCCCCAGTAATGTCTACAAACAATTTTATCATGTTTATTGTTCCCATTACTCAGACTAATCATAATGATATGGGTCATATGGTCCAGTGGATCTTGGAGGTGGGGAGGCAGGAAGTTCACTTGACCAGGATCAACAGTAGGCAACACTCACTGCTTCATACTGGTGCGTGTGACAGCCTAAAGTTCAACATCATTTTTCATTGTACCCTGCTGTCTCCTGGTGAACTATCTGACAGACAGGGAGGTAAATACTGAACATAGTGTCATCCCGGTCAGACATTAGTCTGCCCCGGTTAAATCATGGCACACATACTGGTAATCAAATGGTTTAAAAGGTCAAGCAGATAATCATAATTCACCTTAACAATCAACATGAATTTAGGCCATGTCAGTGAGTAATCAATGGTAATAGGGTTTGGTGATGTATTTGTAAAGTTATGAAAGTAATTTACGGCTTGAATTCAACTAATAACACTGAATGTTCATACAGAATGAGGATTTCTTTTAATTTGGATGGATAGCCAAGGGGTTGTTGTCATAACCCTTATATTAAAAAAATAATATTTTATGAGTCCTTACTTAAACTGTTACAGCTAAACGTCCGTAGTTAATATGTAATGTATAACATTTACACTGAATACATACAATGTTTGGAATATAAATGTCTCAACTTGCAATTGACCAATTCAAGATGAAAATAGTTCACACAAAATGTGAAGAATATCAACTTTGTTATCAGATATCTTGTAGAATATATGTCTTGATATGAAACAAATATAGTCTCATTAACCGTTTCATTCAGGTAAAATAAATATTCCCACCAAATGCCATAAACTAATCAGCAAGATACCTCACCTCACTATGTAGTCTAATTAGCGTTGATTGATTAGCACAGCTGTCATCACACACGCAGCAATTAACGCCAGCATGACCACAATGACATAAGCAAGTGTCAGTGAATCAGCAAATAAGTTCAAGATAAGCGGACAGTACATTTGTACAGTAAATGTAACCTCTCACATGACTATCAACGAAAATCAAATCAAAATGATCATTAGTTCCAAAGGCATTAACTTAATAATATAAATTAGTTGTTTCCTGAAAGGCAAATGACAATAATTATCATAAAAGATCGCATAGATTGACAATAAACATACCGGCCAATGCTGCCTTGAATGGTGTATTTGCTTGTCAGGGGCTCCGTCTTGATCGTACTGTTCGGTACATAGTTGGACACTTTCAGCCCGTTCATACTTAGCATGTTCCGTTTCTACTCCCTCACAAGTGAATTACATTGCACCACATCAGCTCTGATAATCCAATCCTGAACATGTATATTGCCCCGTACCCAGCGATTATGTGTGTAATCAATGCAAATTCACAAAGGAATACACTCGGTGAACGATCGGTAATACACAATCGGACAGTCAGAGGTGCAACAAGCACCTGTCCTCGCTAAACTTTTCAATACTGTAAATGTATATCCCGATCTGACCGGTATGGTTTCTGTTTCTTTCCGGTTTACTCCAAACTTCTTGATCTTCTTGTTTTCAGTGTAAATTTCATTTATTAGTAAGAAAGCCTTTGCGATTCACCCGCTAGGCCTTCGCACTCCGGTCACTGGTGTAATAGCCAGTCTTCCGGTATTGAAAACGAGGCGCGTGTACTGGGTTACTGTCTGCAGTGATTTCAAAGCGGCGAGTAACTACACAGCAGAAACCAGTCGACATGTCGTTAAAAAGACGGATGAGCATGTGAAACGAATGACAATGTGCACGCGAAAACTGACATTAATGCGGAAACGGATTCAGCTGTGACAAGTTGATGCTAATCACACATGACTAAGACAGTTATGTCATTTTAATTTAGAATTATTTATATTACACACTGAAAGATACATGTCAGAATAAAAGGACACAAAATTAGAGCAAAACAAAGGCGGAAGATACAACAATAGGATGTCATTTATCTACAACACAAGAGTTACAAATACTATCTTCTTCAACAGAAACGATGTATACTAAACTATGTAAGACGCTTTCGTTGAAATTGTCAGTAGTTCATTTAGTAAATGCCCACAGAATAACACACTAATTTAAGTGCGAAAAGGCGTTATTTCTCTTGCAAAAAACTGTAAAATGAACTCAAACAAGTTGATTGAAAGATCTGTCATTTATTTGACAAACCGACTAAAACTAATGAAGTTCAAAAGTTTACAATGTACTAATTACCGCAGGATTAGAAGCCAAACAATAAAAGAAAAATACCGACTTTTGTTTTCTTTTAATCCTATCATTTTCAATCACTGGGTGATAAAATCAAACATCAAAATGTTTGCAATTCGTTATCATAATAAAATAAATGGACAGATTTTTCAGTCAATTTGTAAAATGACGGAATTATGTAGGCTTTGTGTAAATTTACTAAGTGAATATTGAAGCCGTTTTACACATTGTATGTATCATATATATTAAACCCTATCGGGTCGACATTCTGGGTACCGTTTTTTGTTTTGTTTTTGTTGGTTTTTTTGGTGTTTTTTTTTTTTTTTTGGGGGGGGGGGGTTGTGTGTGTTTTTCTTTAAGTCACTTATAGTGTTTTCTTTTAATCTATAAATGTTTTACGCATTTTTATTACTTTAGTGTCTCGTAGGTACGGAACCCTTTTAGGGCCATTTGTTTTTCTAATTTTTTCGATACTATCTTGAAATTTCAAGATACTAAGTTGAAATTTCAAGATACTAAGTTGAAATTTCAAGATACTAAGTTGATATTTCAAGATTATTCACTTCAAACGTATTTTTACATCTTAGGATGTTCAAAACTTATTATCTTGAAATTTCAACTTAGTATCTTAAAATTTCAACATAGTATCATGAAATTTCAACTTAGTATCTTGAAATTTCAACTTAGTATCTTGAAATTTCAACTTAATATCTTGAAATTTCAAGATAGTATCTTGAAATTTCAAGATAGTATCTTGAAATTTCAACTTAGTATCTTGAAATTTCAAGATAGTATCGAAATTTAAAAAAAACACCAAATGGCCCTAAAAGGCTTCCGTACGTAGGTCATACAGGCCGGGCATTTTACATATGTACTCGAACTATGTAGCAATTTTTATGCTGTACAAAAGTCGTGACACTTAAATATAAATCTTCTTCCTCTTCTTAAACAAAGATGTGATGTCAGTTGTAAGGCTTCTTCTTCTTCTTCTTCTTCTTCTTCTTCTTCTTCAGGCTTCTTCTTCTTCTTCTTCTTCTTCTTCTTCGTCATAAACAAAGATGTGATGTCAGTTGTAAGGTATTAATTATGCCCGTGAAGATCCGAGGTAGAATTGGTCCTCAGCAACCTGTGCATGCCGTGAAAGGCGACTATGCTTGTCGTAAGAGGCGGCCTGCAAATAATCGAATCTGAACCAGACAATCCAGTGATTGACAGCATGAGCATCGATCCAAACAATTGGGATACGATGACACGCTGTCACTCAATGTTGTTGTTTTCTGGCAAACGCGCGACCGCCGTAGACAGCCGTGATAAAGCCCAAATATTGTTGACAGCAACATTACACAATATTCATTCACTTATTGAGTGAGGGAATTTTTCATTACCGGACATCAGCAATTTTGTAGCTTAAATGTGGTTAGATCCTAAACACATTCCATGTCCCATAATTTTGGCCCTCTTATACCCCCTTAAAATTCACTTTAGGTAATAAAAGTCGCGTCTATGGGTGTTTTTAGCGTTTAATTGGGATTCAAAAGTAAATGAGGGAAGGTGGGGGGTGTCTAAAAATGTCTAATTATCATGGTACTCAGATAAACTATTATTGCCAGCTTCCGTTTCCTGTATGAGAACAACGCTTTCAAAACTCGGCGGGATACGAAACTGCAACCTTTTTATATATAGTCCTTCACTCTGCCACCTGTGCTACGGAGAATGTCGTCACAGATGTCAAATGTCATAGTCCCCATTATCTAATTATAACCTTATTTGTTTGTTGTTTAACGCCGCACTCAGCAATATTCCAGCCATATATTACGGCGGTCTGTAAATATTCGAGTCTGGACCAGACAATCCAGTGATTGACATCTTGAGCATCGATCAACGCAGTTTGGATACGATGACATTCGTCAACCAAGTCAGCGAGTCTGACCACCCGATCCCGTTAGTCGCCTTTTATGGCAAGCATAGGTTGCTGAAGACCCATTCTACCCCGGATTTTCATGGGCCCATTGATATGAATGAAATGTATATATATGCACAACTGTTGATATGACGAAAGCTTCTATTGTTTTTTCTTCTTTTTATATAAATGTTACGTACATAAAATGATCGAAGTGGTAGGCAGGCTTTCTATTGTCTAATAGAAATACGGCCATGTCTAATGTGCCCGGATAAGTCGAACTATTTTTCTGGAACACGTGGCTTCGAGACAACGGAATTCGACTGTATGTGTTCTTTCCCTGCCTGTAGCTCGGCAATAAAAGGATGATTAGGACTCATTAGATCGGAGTCTGTATAATATGCCTGAGGTCTGAGTGGGAGATCCATGTTATATGGTATTTCAGTGGACTGGTATATATATATATACAACCTTGATAAAAACAGGGCCTTCGCTGTGCAGAGTTGCGTCCCATGGGCACGCCAGAAACCTGTGATTGTGTGTTCGAATCCCGGTTCGCCCCGATTACCATTACCGTGCTCGTTGGTTTCACCCAAGTGGTAAACGTCTGAGGCCTGCATCACTTCGGGCTTTCCTCCCACATCAAGCTGACACGCCGCGATATAACCGGAATAATGTTAAAAGCGGCGTGAAACCTAACTCACTCACTCACCCATGAAAACAGTTCGGACAAGTACAAGCAACACTTGCAACCACGTCGCTGTATGAGTGAAATAATTTTGAACGTGACGTTTAACCCCATTTCATCTCACCTCTTCAATTAAACAACACAGTGGGAAATAAGAATATGTTGCTAGAAGACGTAGATCGGTTATGTATCGAACTCATCCATCATCATTAGACGAAACGGGATTTCTCAGCCCATTTAAACACCCGCTACGTATGTACAACTCGACTTGTCATGTTAAAGAAGGAGCACCGAATGTTATTAACCTGTAGGTCAAGCGTTGGGCGATTGTGTCAGCTCCGCGTTAAGCCAGAGACGTGATGTCAACTCACTCTTACTGCCAAGAATTCACACGAAGTAGCCGCAATACGTAACATAACAACCCCCAGCGATGTACCGTACCCATGTTAGCCCAGGATTCCCCCCTCTCCTGCTTCCACTAATGTCACCGCATTTAATACTTACCTGTAATCTGTGACAAGTTGGCAGACATGCACCTGCGGTCTGACTCTACACAGCATCCCTGTATCACGCCACTTCATCCCGTCATGTTTCACGTCACCTACCGCCGCGTCAAGTCGCCTGCCGTATATCTTATTAGTGTGTTCTGTCGCCTTCCTCTGTCTTTAGTTCTGGAGCTTTGTCCCGTCATCGAGGCTTGGAACCACTTGTTATCACCGTGTACCAGGTTCTGTTACCTTGTACCCTTATCGTGTCCATCTTTCACCTTGTCCTGTCGTCTTATCTGTCACCATGTTCTTTCATCTTCTGTCACCATCTTTTGTCATTTTCTGTCACCATGTTTTGTCATCTTATTTGTCACCATGTTCTGTCATCTTATTTGTCACCATGTTCTGTCATCTTCTGTCACCATGTTTTGTCATCTTCTGTCACCATCTTTTGTCATTTTCTGTCACCATGTTCTGTCACCGTGTTCTGTCATCTTCTGTCACCATGTTTTGTCATCTTCTGTCACCATGTTTTGTCATCTTCTGTCACCATGTTTTGTCATCTTCTGTCACCATGTTCTGTCATCTTATTTGTCATCATGTTCTGTCATTTTCTGTCACCATGTTTTGTCATCTTCTGTCACCATCTTTTGTCATTTTCTGTCACCATGTTCTGTCATCTTATTTGTCACCATGTTCTGTCGTCTTATTTGTCACCATGTTCTGTCATCTTCTGTCACCATGTTTTGTCATCTTCTGTCACCATGTTTTGTCATCTTCTGTCACCATGTTTTGTCATCTTCTGTCACCATATTCTGTCATCTTATTTGTCACCATGCTCTGTCATCTTATTTGTCACCATGTTCTGTCATCTTATTTGTCACCATGTTCTGTCATCTTATTTGTCACCATGTTCTGTCATCTTATTTGTCACCATGTTTTGTCATCTTCTGTCACCATGTTTTGTCATCTTCTGTCACCATGTTTTGTCATCTTCTGTCACCATCTTTTGTCATTTTCTGTCACCATGTTCTGTCACCTTGTTCTGTCATCTTCTGTCACCATGTTCTGTCACCATGTTCTGTCACCATGCTCTGTCATCTCATTTGTCACCATGTTCTGTCATCTTATTTATCACCATGTTTTGTCATCTTCTGTCACCATGTTTTGTCATCTTCTGTCACCATCTTTTGTCATTGTGTTCTGTCATCGTATAAGCCATTGTGTTCTGCCACGGTGTTCTGTCATCTTATAGATATAAATAGATTAATAACAACATATTAAAAAAGGAAGATGCCTATTTTATTGCCTACTGTTTTGGGAATCGAATCAACAGACATAGTCTGTGATGC